AATTTCATTTTTTCCTGAAAATATGGTGTCTATTTACTTGTGACCACCCTGTGTACATGAGCCGATGTTTCCATTTATGAACGTTATATTTTAAGATCTGGGCAAGAACTCAGCTAACAAATGTTTCCGCATATAAAAGCTATCCTATGTTTTATAATTTGAATATTTGTATAACGTCCTTCATGAATATTTATCTACTAATTTGTAATTACATAGACGCCTGTTTTCCATATTAAGTTTAAAAAAAAATTCAAACTATATATATATATATATATATATTGTGTGTGCATTAAATTAACGAAAAAAAAATATTATTAAACTATCTTAAGTTAATGTAGCGTGTCGCTCTATACGTAAAATGTTCGAACTGTAGATATTTTTGTCTAAATCATATAAAAGTAGTACAATATGTTTTAGTTTAGTTTATTTTTTTAATTTCGCGCAAAGCTACACGAGGGCTATCTGCGCTACCCGTCCGTAATTTAGCAGTGAAAAACTAGAGAAGGCAGCTAGTCATCACCACCCACCGCCAACTCTTGGGCTACTCTTTTACCAACGAATAGTGGGTTTAACCGTCACATAATAATGCCATACATTATGCTCAAACGGACATATAGGCAGGCGAACCGTATTCATGTCAACCACAGCACTGTTTACATTCTGAATATGTAAAATTAATATTTCATTTATTACAGCACAACTTTCACTGCCAGACGAAAGACTTCTCGAACAGTGGATCCTGCTATTCACTCCAAACCTATAATGTCAGATCTTTCTTTTGTCCTTTGCAATCAGCAAGAATTATCTGATAGAGCAGATCCAAATCTTCTACCCATCCGGCTGGAAATAAACACGACTTACCTTACTCATCCAGCTGACAATGAAGATGGAAATAAACACGACTTACCATACTCATCCAGCTGACAATGAAGATGGAAATAAACACGACTTACCATACTCATCCGGCTGACAATGAAGGTAGAAATAAACACGACTTACCATACTCATCCGGCTGACAATGAAGGTAGAAATAAACACGACTTACCATACTCATCCGGCTGACAATGAAG